CCGCCAGTCCCGCTGAGAGGCTTGAGCGCCCCTCCTGTGGAGTTGCTCATTGCAGCTGTCGCAGCGATCTGCTGCTGCCGTTGCTGCTGGGGTTTTCGATCGCACATACCACCGTAAGGCGCGAGCTAGCTAGCTAGTTAGCTAGCTAGCTGGCTAGCAAGGAGGCTCGCCAGTTGGCAGCCGCCTAGCTAGAGTTCGCAGCAGACGAACTAAGCCGACAAGCAGGCTGCCTACCTACCCTTTGGTCTGGATAGCTAGCTAGCTAGTTAGCTGGTCAGCAAGCTAGTTAGGTGACTACTTATCTAGTGTATAGCTAGCTAGCTAGCTAGCTGGCTAACTGGTTAGCGAGCGCCTCCGCTGGGTGTGGGGGTCCTGGCCGGTATAACGGCTGGTGTGTTGCCCGCAGCTAGCTAGCTAGCCATACAGGCAGCTAGCCATACAGACAGCTAGCCATACAGACAGCTAGCCATACAGACGGCTAGCTGTCAGCAGCTGTCGACTGTTTAAGTCCATTTGAATCTTGGCAAGGGATAAACAAAAACTAATTCGGAGTCCTGCTAGCTAGCTAGCTAGCCACCTGGCTATCTAGCAAGCCAGCTACCTAGATAGATGGATAGCTACCGGTCAGCAGCAGCAGCAGCAGCAGACTGCTGCAGCAGACTGCTGCCACAGGGGGAGAGACAGCAGAATTAGCGCCACGAACAGCAGCTGCAGAAGCCAGTCAAAGCCCTCACAATTCAAAAGGACTCAACCACCATGCACACTGATCTTGCAGCTCCTGCTGCTGCTGCTGCTGCTGGCGGGCTCCACTGCTGCGACGCCGCAAAGGCGCTGGGGACTGCAGCAGCAACGATAGAAAATCCGTGTGCAGCTGCTGGTCTTGCTGTTGTTGCCGCTGCCTCATCTGCTGCTGCTCCCCTTCGTCGCCGCCGACCTGCTGCTGCTGCCGCTGCTGCTGCTGCTTGTCCAGAACCCCAGGTGCCACTGAGCGGGGGTCAGTACCTGCTGCTGCTATTCTCTCGATGCCTACAGCTGACTCTGTCGCTGCTGTTGCTCCTGCTGTTGTTGCTTCAACTGGTGTTGCTGCTGCCGCTGCCCCAGCCTCCCTAACTGGAGCGGGATCTTGGGTGCCCGAAGCAGCAGCGGCAGCAGCAGCAGGTGCTTTGCCCTGAGGAGGGGCCTTGCTGCTGCTCCTCTTTAAAGGTGCAGCCGCTCGCAGCAGCAACTGAAGAGTCTCTGCATCATCCTGTGGAGGGCTGAGGCCTTCATAGGCGAACGAATGGCGCAGCAACTGCAGCAGAAGCAGCAGCAACAGCACCAGCTGCAGCACGTGAATGAGTCTTACCCAGCAGCAGAGACGTGAAAGCAACCGAAGAGAGCACAACCCATTAACAGCAGCAGCAACAGCAACAGCAGAAGCAGCAACGGTACAACATACCTTTTCTAACACAGCAGGGGACGGCTGTAGCAGCTGCACTGCTGCTCCGTCATCTTCATATTCCTCCGTGTGCGGAGCAGCAGCAGAAGCAGCAGCAGCAGCAACCCGAAGAGCCTCCCGCCCTGCTGCTGCGCATGCCGATATGCTGTTGCTCTCCTCTGAACTGCACTTCTGAGGCAGCAGCAAGCGGCGCGCTGTTGCTGCTGCTACTCCTGCTGCAGCTGCTGTTGTAGCCGCAGCTGGCAGCAGATGCTGCAGCCGCGCAGCTGCCTTATTTGCTGCTGCGAAGGCGCTGTATGCACAGCTGCAGTGTATCCGCAGCTGCTGCAGCACTGCTGCGGAAGGGGCAGCTGGTGCAGCCCCTGGTGCAGCAGCGGCAGCTGGTGCTGCTGTTGCAAACTCCACAGATGCAGAGCACACAGAAAACAGAGTTGCTGGATTCTGTTGCTGCTGCTGCCGTTGCTGTTGCTGCTGCTGGTGTTGGCGTCGTTGCTGCTCCTGCAGCTGCTTTGAAATATTCTCAGCAATCTCAGAAGCAGCAAGCTGCTGCTGCTGTTGCTGCAACAACGCCTCCGTCATGCGATGCAGAGACACAGCAGCAGAAGCAGCAGAAGCAGCCGCCGTTTGCTGAACCCATTCGTCATCCCCACCTGTTGCTGCATCAGCAGCAGCAGCTGCTGCTGCAACTCCTGCTGCGGGCCCCGTTGCTGTTGCTCCAGCTGCTGCGGAACCTGCTGCTGCTGTTGCTGCTGGAACTGCATGTGCTACGCATGCCCCTGTAAGGCCGCTGTCTTGCTGCTGCTGCTGTTGCTGTTGCTGCTGCTGTTGCTGCTGATCCTGCTGCTCCTCAGCAGCAGCAGCGGAACAGACAAGGGCCGAGAGTGTTCTTAGGATGGCGATGGTGTGGCCAGCAGCAGCAGCAGCAGCAGCAGCAGCAAATCGCTGTCCTGCAACGGCCCACGCAGTCGCCATGCGCCGCTCTGCCAGCAGCAGGAGACACGGTAGATCAGCGGAACTCTGCTGCTGCTGTTGCTGCTGCTGTTCGTCCTGCTGCCTCTGCGCTTGAGCCGGCTTCTGCTTCAGTACTGCCTGCTGCAGCAGCACTAAAGCTGCAGCAGGATCAGCAGCAGCAGCACAGGGAGACAAAACGCACAGGTCCGCGTACACCGCATCTCGAAGCTCGCTGTTGCACACTACAGGAGCAGCAGCAGCACCAGCAGCTGTTGTTGCTGCTGCTTTCGCTGCTCTTGGAGCCCCAGCATGCTGTTCGGAGCAGCCCTTCTTCGGGGGTGCCGGTCTGTTGCTGCTGCTGCTGCTGCAGGGGGCCGCGTACCGCCGAAGCAGCAAATCGTTGCAGTGGAAGTGAAGCGCAACTGCCTCTGCTGCGTCGCCCTGCAGCGGCTGCTGTTGCTGCTGCTGCAGTGCGGCAGCACCTGCAAGTGATAGGCCACCTGACAGCAGCAGGAGCCACTGCCGCACATTGCTGCTAGCCAGAAGCAGTAACTCTTCTGTGCATGCGCTGCAGCAGCACAAACCACTGCTGCTGCTGCTGCTGCTGCAGTGCGCACGGGTTCGCCGCCTCAAGGAAGCCAGGAGCTCTTTTGCTGCTGCTTTTTTATGCAGCAGCAGCAACCACCTCTGAATTCTCTCTGTGTATTTCTGCTGGCCCCAGCCTGCTGCTGCTGCTGCTGCTGCTGCCGCTGCTGCAGGCGACGGCGAATTCGTATCCTTTGCTGCTGCTGCTGCTGCAGCAGCAGCATCGAGGCCGTTGCTGCTGAGAGGGTCCGGTGCTGCAGTGGCGATGGCCAGCAGCAGCAACAGCAGCTGAGTAGAAAATAAAGGAGTGGTAGAAACAAGCAGGCGCAGCAGCAGTAGCACTAACCCCGGATGCTGCTGCGGGTTGAAGCAGCAGCAGCAGCACTCAGCAGCAAATGACAGCAGCACCAACTCGGTGTCGTCTCGCTCCTGCAGCGCATGCAGCGTCCTTGCTACTGCAGCATCCGCAGCAATAGCAGCTGCCCCCCACTCCACTAATTGCCGAGCCAAGTCTTCATCTCCTTGTTGCTGCTCCTGCTGCTGCTCTTGCTGCTGCTGCTTTTGCTGTTGCTGTTTTTGTTGGTGCTGCTTGTGCTGCTGATCCGGCTGCACAGCAAACGATGATAACTTCTCCCGGTTGCTGCTGCTGCTACTGTTGCTGTTGTTGTTGCTAGTGCTGCTGCTGCTGCAGGAAACTGCTACACCCCACCTGCGTCGCCAAGCGGTCACGAGCCGCTGCGCTGCGCAGATTGCAGCATCGGTCCTTTCTTGCTGCTGTTGCTGCTGCTGTTGTTGCTGCTGCTGCTTTTGTTGCTGTTGCTGTTGCTGTTGCTGCTGCTGCTGTTGCAGCGCCCCAGCAAAGGGACAATGCGGCGGACGCAAGCGCAGCCTTTTTGGAAGCACCAGCACAACAGGCAATGGGTGGTGCATGCTGCTGCTGCTGCGTTTGCTGCTGTTGCTACTGCTGCTGTTCCTGCTGCTGGAGAAGACTAGAGAACGCAGTAGCAACTCTGCATGCGCTTGCTGCAGCATGCGGAACAACGCCGGCAGCGCCATCGAGGTTGCTGCAGCAGCAGCAACTGCAGCAAGGTTCTGCACCATCTTGGGCTGCTGCTGCTGCTGCTGCTCCGGCTGTCTGGCTTGCGTTTTGATTTCGGTGCTGCTGCATGCGTGCGTGCTGCTGCTGCTGCTGCTGGTGTTGTAGCAGGATATGAGGTTGGTCTTGAGTTTGTTTTGCTGCGGAAGCCAGTAGCTGCTGAGGAGCTGCTGCAGCGCAGCAGCAGCAGCTTCTCGCAACTGCTGCAGAGCAGGCAGCTCGTGGTGTGTTGCTTCATGCCGCAGCTGCACCCACTCACCATCGATACCTGTTTTTGCTGCTACAGCAGCAACAGCAGCAGCAAACTTCCCCTTCTGTGCTGCGTCTACGATTGTATTCACATGCCTCACCAGCACCAGCCCGTAGGCATGGCGCAGCAAGCTGCTGCTGCTGCTGCTGCAGTTCCTGCCGCTGCTCCTGCTGCTGCTGCTGCTGGGGAAGAAATAGCCATCCGATAAGAACACCTCCAGCAGCTGCAGCAACAGCTCTGCTGCTGCTGGCAGGCGGCTGTCTGCTGCGCGGCATGCAGAGAGTGACGCCCAAGCAAACAGCAGACGGCGGCGCAGCCCTTCGCTGCTGCTGTTCCTATTGCTGTTGCTGCTGCTGTTGCTGTTGCATTTCTTGCTGCGCTTCGAGGGAGGGGAATGAGGAGCCTCTGCAGCAGCACTGCAGGAGCCGCAAGGGCAGCAACAGATTAATGCTCGCTTGCTGCTGCTATTGCTGCTTTCACTCCTGCTACAGATAATGCTGCTGGAGATAGTGCAGCTGCCCCTGCTGCTGCAGCTGCTGCTGCTGCTGCTGTTGCAGATACACCTGCATCGAGCAGTCTCGTGTGCGAGAAGAGATTCACATATATCTAAAAAATGCCTCCAAGAGGCCCAAGGGGTTTGCTGCTGATTCCAAGGAGAAAACCGCGGAAACGCAGCAGGAGCAGCAGGAGCAGCAGGAGCAGCAGCAGCTGCTGCTGCAGAAGCAGCAGTCCCTGCTCCTCCTGCTGCTCCCCTCGCTGCCCCCATATCCCACTGCCTTAATGGCTTCTAGGCAACCGCAAGCACAACAGCAACGACGGCAGCTCAGCAGCAGCAGCAGCAGCTACTGCTGCTGCTACTGCTGCTGCCCGCCTTCCGCTGTGAAAAACAAATACCCTTACGACCTTATTCAGGAAAACAGAAAAAATTTTCTCATAGCAAATTAAGAATGAAATATTCTCCTTCCCACGGGGCTGCATGCATGCTCGAAGCCCCAGCAGCAGCAGCAGCTGCTGCAGCAGCAGCAGCAACAGCAGTGTGTGTGCACGGTGACAGCACTGCTGTATTTGTTTCTGAATATTTCTGTGATTGTCCTGCTGCAAAGAAGCCTTCTCTTAACCTCTCTGGCCCCATCACCGCAGTTTGCTGCTGCTGCTGTTGCTGCTGCTACTGTTGCTGCTGGCTGATTCTATTACTGCTTGTACTAAGATCTGTTGCTGCTTGTGCTGCTTAGTGTTTCTGCTGCTCCAATACCTAGGGCAATAGACATTATTGCTGCTTTACTAATACTACTGCTGCTGTTACTGCTGCTGCTGTTGCTGCTGCTGATGCAGCTGCTGCTGTTGTATGGGCTACGTGCAGGAGCACAGATAAGTGCATCGAAGTGCATAAAATGCTTTAGTTTGAGAATTAAATTAAAGGAGCTGTTTGCTGCTGCTGCACCTGGCGCTGCAGCTGCCGCTGCTGCTGCTGCGGCTGCTGCTTCCCGCCGCTGAATACCGCTGCGCAAAGCAGCTCTGCTCCCACCCCCTATCTAATTATCAAGCTAGCCGTCTGGCTAGCTGCCTGCCTGCCTAGCTAGCTAGCTAGCTAGCTAGCTAGCTAGTTATATATCTGGATAGCTGGCAAGCTGGCCAAGTCACCAGCTAGCTAGCTAGCTAGATCTCTAACTAGCCATACGGCTAGCTAGCTACTAACTACCTGGCTATGTCGCCAGCTAGCTAGCCAGCCAGGTGGCTACTCAGGTAGCGTTTTAGGGTGACTGGCTGGGGGTGTCTGGCGAGTTCAAGCCAGCTGCGTCTGTTGCTGCTGATGCTGCTGCTGCATCTGTTGCGGCTGCTGCGTCTGTTGCTGCTGCGTCTGCTGCTGCTTCTGCGCCTGGTGAGGGAGATGCATGCGCCTCTGCTGCCGATGCCAGAGCTGCGTCTGCTGCTGCTGCATCCGCATTCGTTACATTTTGTGGCTGCTGCTGGTGCTGCTGCTGCTCCTGCTCGGTGATGCCGGTGGCTGTGCCGCTTAAAGTCTCGCTGTTTGCAGCGTCTGCTGCTGCAGGTGTATCCTGTTGTTGCTGCTCCTGCTGCTGCTCAGAGGCTTGAGGCATGATGGGGGGTGGAGCTGCTTCCGGCTGCAGTTGCTGCTGCTGTTGCTGCAGCAAGCTGGGGTACTGGGGCGCAGCAAAAACCACAACCAGCAGCAGAGCAACCTGCCCAACCAGCAGCAGCAGCAGCAGCAATCGTCTTTTGGATGGCGAAAGCAGCAGCTGCTGCAGCTGCTGCCGGAGGAAGCGAGCAGACGCAGCAGCAGCAGCAGCAGCAGCAAGCCACCGAATGCTGCCCGCAGCTGCGCTCGGCAGCAGCTGCGTCAGCGAAAGCAGCAACACGACTGGAGCAGCAGCTGCTGCTGCATATCCTTGAAGACACAGGAGCTGCACAAGGCTCACATCTTGCTGCTGCTGCTGCTGTTGCTCTTGCTGCGGTAGCGGAGTCCCTCTGCTGTTGCTGCGATACCGCTGCAGCAGCTGCAGCAGCCAGCAGCACGCAGGAGGAGCAGCAACTGCAGCATAAGCAGCAGCACCTGCAAACGTCAGAAGTTTGAGGCCGGCTGCTGCTTCCGCTTCTGCCGCTGCTGCTGCTGCTTCGGAGCCATCTGCCGCTGCTGCACCCTTTGGTGGCAGCAGCAGCAGCGGTAGAGAAGCAGAGATAAAAATTAGGAGGGAAATTGTTGCTGCTATCCACACAGGACCGTACAAGTCAGGCTGCTGCAGCAGGCTCGTCTTCTCGCTGCTGCTGCTGCTGCTGCTGCCGTTCAGGTGTATTGGCAGCACCGCATGCAGACGCATCAAGACTTGCTGCGAGTCAACATCAAACAGCCGCTGCGCAGCAGCAATGGGAAAGCAGCTCCACCATGGCTGCTGCTGCTGCTGCTGCTGCTGCCCTGTTGCTGCAGCACCTTGCTCCTGAGACCCCCACATCATTCCTCCTTTTGCTGCTGTATCCAGTTGCCCCATTGCGAATCCTTGATTGAAATCACCTGGTTTGCTGCTGGTGCTGTTGCTGCTGCTGTAGGGTTGCATTGCTCCTGCTGCAAGTCCGGGGGAGTCGCTGAGCGACAGCGTTAAGCCCTGCTGCTGCAGCTTGCTGCTGCTGCTGCTGCTGCTGCTGCTGCTGCCTATTGCTGTGCTGGAGAAGACCAGCGCGCCGTATGACGCTGCATCCTGTGCACCTCCACTGTTGGTTTCAGCAGCACCAGAAGCAGCAGAAGCATCAGCAGTAGCAGCAGCAGCAGCTAAATCAGCAGCAGCATCTTGCGTTGGCCTCTCCCACTGCGTTCGTTGCGTTAGCTGATTATAGTAATAAGGGACTCCGTCCTTTGTTGTGTACTGCAGCCACAGGCGAGGCAGCGGAGCAGACTCCATCTTTGCTGCTCCGCTGCTACCGAACCTCCTGTGCTGCTGCTGCTGCTGCTGCTGCTGGTACTGCTGCTGCTGCTGCTGCTCCTGCCGCTGACTGGGATACTGCTGCTGCTGCTTATGCTGCTTGGGGTACTGCTGCTGCTGCTTATGCTGCTTGGGGTACTGCTGCGGCTGCTACTAATGCTGCTGCTGCTGCTTGGAATGCTGCTGCTACTGCTGCTCCTTGTGGTAATGCTGGTGCTGCTGATGCTGCTTGCAAGGCTTGGGATACTGCTGCTGCTGCCGTTGGTGAGGCAATGACTCTCCTTCTTTCTGCTACTGCAGCAGCTGAGGTGCCCCCCGTTGCTGCTGTTGCTGCGGCGGTGGCGGCTCCTGCTGCAGCAGCTGCAGCAGCAGCAGCTGCCGCTGCTCTTAGGGTTCCTGGCGCAGCTTTGCTGCTGCGTGTTAATGAAGGATGATTGCAAAGCCGTGACTCAGCAGCAAAGACAGCAGCGCCTGCTGATTGGTTGTTGCTGCGACAAGACAGCGCGAGCAGCAGCAGCAGCAGCTGCTGCAGCAGCAGCAGCAGAAACTGTCCCAGGGAACTCCCCAGCTGACCAACACAGAGAAGATAATAAATATAATCAGCAAATAAATACTCGTATTTCGATTGGTGTTGAGTTTGCTGCTTGGGGAGCTGTTGCTGCTGTTGCTGCTGCGGCTGCTGCGGCGGCGGCGGCGGCGACTCAGCCCCGTTGACCCGCAGCAGCAGCAGCAGCAACAACAACAACAACAGCAGCAGCAACTAGCGATATTCCCGCTATTAATTGGGGGGCAGATAGCTATGCAGACAGTTGCAGCAGCAGCAGACACCTTTGCGCCTACGCCTAGCAGCAACAACAACCACAGAAGCGGCAGCAGCAACTACTGTTGCTCTGTAGCAGAGAGGCAACCGGCAGCAGCAGCAGCAGAAGCAGCAGCACGAAGAAAGCGACTGCACCAGCACCAACAGCAGCCGTTATCTCAAAAGCAGGGACAGCTGCAGCAACGGCAGCAGCAACTGCAACGCGCGCAGCAGCGACAGAAATTGCGGTTCTCCACGGACTGCAGCAGCAGCAGCAGCAGCAGCAGCCCCTGCTGCTGAGGGAGGACAGATGCGTTAATCAGGGTAATCTCGGAACCTCAGCATATAACACTGCTGCTGGAATTCCGCAGCAGCAGCAGCAGCAGCTGCTGCTGCAGCAGGTACAGCAGCAGCAACAGCAGCACCAGAAGTAGCAGCAGGATGGCTGCTGCTGACGGCAGCAGCAGCAGCAGCAGCAACAGCATGGCGTTTGGTGCCGGTGCTTCGCACTTGGAGTTGCTGCGAGCTGCTCAGAAGGATGACTTCTACTGTCGGGTGTACACGCAGCAGCTGCAGAAGCTGCTGCAGCAGCTGCATCAGCTGCTGCTCCCTCCACAAGGACAACCACAGCGAAGGAATAGCCTTGCTGCTGCAGGCAGCAGCAACAGACGCAGCAACAGCAGACGGTTATCCGCAAGCTACGCTATTTCTGCAGATGGTGGCAGCAGCAGCAGCGGTAACAGCAGCAGCAGCAGCAGCAATAACAACAGCAGCAGCAGCACAAGCAGCAACAGCAGCAGCGGCACAAGCAGCAACAGCAGCAGCAGCACCAGCAGCAACAGCAACAGCATCATGCCATGGAGGCGATGGGTGAGATATGCTCGTGCTGTTGCAGCAGATTGGTGTTTGCTGCTGCAGCAGCAGCAACACGCAGCTCGATCGCTTGTCCAGATTCTTTATTTTGCTGCTTCTTTAGGGGGTAGCAGCCAGCAGTCCCTTGGGGAGGAATATTGCGAACTCAGAACGGTAAGTGCTGCTGCTGTTGCTGCTGCTGCTGCTGCCGTTGCTGCTGCTGTTGCTGCTGCTTCTGTTGCTTCTGCTGCTGCTGCTCTTACTGGATCGCTGCTGCACCTGCTGTCACTACTGCTGCTGGCGCTCCACGTGCTGTTGCGGCTGCTGCTGCTCTTCGAGATGCTGCTTGTGCTGCAGCTGTTCGTGCTGTTGCTGTTGCAGCTTCACCTTGCTCTGTTGCTGCTGCTGCTGCCGTGGCTGCTGCTGCTATTTGTCTTCATTAACTGGGATAAGCAGTGAATTGCTGCTGCTGCTTCTCCTATGGTTGGTTGCTTGTGCTGCTGCTGTCCCTGCTGTTGCTGCCGCTGCTTGCTCGTTGCTGCTTGTGCTGCTGCTACTGCTGCTGCTGCTGCTGCTGCTGCTGCTGCAGGTGGGGCCCCCTCACTATGGCGGCATTACCGGCTTCCTGTTGCTGCTTTGGGCTGCGGTGCTGCGTTCGATTCCTTTTGCTGCCGCTGCAGCACTCATCGCAAAGACATGCAGGCATGTCCTGCTGCTGCTGCTGCTGCTGCTTGTGCTGCTGCTGCTGATTGCGCTTCTGCTGCTGCTTCTTTTTCTAAGACTGCTGCTGGTGGTGCTCCTGGCGTTGCTGTTGATGCTACTGGGGCCGCTGCTGGTGGGGCTGTTTCTGCTGCTCTTGATTCTGCTGCTGCTCCTGCTGCTGCTGCTTCAGGGTTTTTGGTTTGTATACGCCAACAGCAGCAGCAATCGATGATTTTTTAGCAGGTGGGTTTTTTGCTCTCGAGCACCGTCTGCTGCTGCTGCTATGGTTACATCTCTCTTAGTTGCTGCTGCTAGCCACCTGCTGCTGCTGCATGCTGCCTGCTGCTGCTGCTGCTGCTGCTGGGGTGTATCTGCAGTTTTGCGTCGATTTCACTTGGCTTTATTTTTCTGGGACGGCAAATTCCTCCACTTCTCACAGAGGCAGGTTGCTGCTGCTGTTGCTGCTGCTGCTGCTGCTGCTGCTGCTGTTGCTTGTTTATCTGGTTTGGCTGGTTTCTGTGGCGGGATGCTGCTGCTCATTTGTTTGTGCTGCTGCTGCTGCTTCTGCTACTGCAGGTTGCTGCAGCGGCGGCTCTTTCGGCTGTACGGGGGCCTCTCTTCCCGTGCTGTTGCTGCCTACATGCGCGGCTTTGCTGCAGTGCTGCTGCTTCAGGGGTTGTTAGTTGCGCACTCTCTCTTTAATATGTTTACGAGGCAGAGGGCGCGGCAGCAAATTCAGAAAGAAACTGCTGCTGAGATCAGCAGCAACAGCAGCAATAGCAGCAGCAGCAGCAGCAAGGAGGAGAAAAGGGAGAAAAAAGAAGAAAGCGCAGCAGCTACAGATAACCCCAACAGCAGCAGCAGCAGCAGCAGCAGCAGCAGCAGCAGCAGCAGCAGCAGCAGCAGCACGTTGGTGTGTTTGTTTTGCCAGAGCTTTTGCAGCGTCCCAACGGCTGCTGCATGCGGCCACATCTTTTGCTGGTCTTGTATCAGCAGGTGGTGCCAGCAGCAACAGCAGCAGCAGCAGCAGCAGCAGCAGACGCCTACATGCCCTGTTTGTCGGTGAGCCGCAGCGCAGCAGCAGCAGCGAGAAAATAAACAAAGACGAATAAGAACAGATACAAATAAATAAATAAATAAATAAATAAATAAACAGACATGCTGTTTCTCTGAAGACACGACAGACAAAGAGAAAGCTCCCTCAGTGCGATATTAACGTGTGTCTGCTGCTTTTGCTGCTGCTGCTGCTGTTGCTTATGCTGCTGCTATTGTTGTTGTTGCTGCTGCTGCTTTTGTCGTTGTTGCTGCAGCGCTGCCTGCCCGCCGCAACATTTGCTGCCTCTCCGTCACTTTGAGAGCTCGGAGGATTTGCTGCTGCAGTACAACTTGCAACAGCAGCAGCAACAGCAGCAGCAACAGCAACAGCAACAGCAGGAGCAGCAGGAGCAGCAGGAGCAGTAGAGCAGAGCTGATCTTCCTACAGATCGTCAGCGCTGCAGCAAGTGCTGCAGCAACCGTACCGGCACCTGCTGCAGCAACTGCAGCAGCAACTTGAACAGCAACTCCAGCAGCTGCTGCAGCAGTAGCTGCTGCAGGGATTGCAGCGCGAACCCCTGAATATTTTCCTGCATCTCATTGCCTGAACGACGATATTTTTTGGTTGCAGCAAGCGTTCTGCTGCTGCTGCTGTTGCTGCAGCAGCAGGTGCTGCTGCTAGCTCCTTTCCGGCATGGGGAGGCTGGTAACGCTGTTTCTGCTGCTGCTGCTGCACTTCGGGTGTAGCGACAGATGCTGAATGAATTTGTGAAGCGGTGGCAGTTTGTGTTTTTTTGCTGTTACTCTTGCTGCTGCTGCTGCTTTGTCAGCAGCAGAAGCAGCAGCAGCAGCAGCATGCGTCCCTTGCCATATCAACTCCCCATACGCAGTCTGCATACTGGCGGTGTTTGTAACTAGCTAAAGCTAGCTGTAGCTAGCCAGCTATGACTGGCTGTATCAGGCTATGGCCAGGTGTAGCTAGCTGTAGCTATATATATATATATATATAGTCGCAAACAGCGGTAGGCAGCTGAATCCCTCTCTAGCTATCTGTAGCTAGCTGTAATTAGGTGCGGCGGAGTGTAGCTAGCTGCAGCTAGATATAGCTAGCTGTAAGTACTTGTCTTCTTTTTACGCTTGCCTTCGATAGTTTATGCTGATTTGCGCACGGCAACAGCAGAAGCGGCAGCAGCAGCAACACCGGCAGCCGCAGCAACAACTACAGCAGCAGAGGCAGCAGCGGCAACAACTGCAGCACCCGAAGCAGCAGCAGCACGAACAACTTCAGGAGCAGCAGCAGCAGCACGAACAACTTCAGGAGCAGCAGCAGCAGCACGACCAACTGCAGAAGCAGCAAAAGCAGCAGCAATCAAGGTTTCTTGCTCTAATTACTTCATTTGTTGCTACGCGCGAGTTGCTGCTGACGGCAGCAACGGAGACAAGCAAAGACAAAGAGAGACAAAAAAAGAAGATAAAACGGAGACAGGCAGCAGCAACGAGGAGACACAGACAAGCACAAACATATAAATATATGGGCTCTTAAACACACACAGACAAAGCAGCAGCACCAGCAATACCAGCGGCAGCAGCAAAACCAGCAGCAGCAACAGCAGCGGCAGCAGTTGCTGCTCCAGCTGCTGCAGCTTGGGTTAAAGCTGCAGAGATAAAGCGCTAAACAGCAACAGCAGATCTTCTTTGGGTGCTGCAAAATAGCAGCAGCAAACAAGCCATACAGCAAAACCTGCCGTCACTGCTGCTGCTGCAGCTGCTGCTGCTGCTGCGCTCGGGCGCCGTAGGTAGATTAACGGTATTAAAAGACAAAAAAATTTGAATAAGAAGTGTTTCTATAGTGGTAGCTGAGGTGTACGTACACCCCACTGCAGCCTACTGGGACGCCGGCTGCATGCGCATGCTGGCCGGCTGCTGGTGCTGCTGCTGCTGCTGCTGCCACTGGTGCTGCTGCAGAAGAGGAACGAAAAAACAGAACTTCTTTGGTCTAGACACACATTAGTGGATTAGCAGCTGCATGTTGCTGCCTCTCCGTTTGCTGCTGCTGCAACACCCCGGGCAGCAGCAGCAGCACAGGCGTCTGCCGCTAAGTTAACAAGCAGCTGCAGCAGCAGCAGCACCAGCAAACTGCAGCAAGTGCAAGTCTCGTGATCTTAGAGTTCTCCTGCTGCAGCAGGAACGGGTTGTGCCTCTGTCTGCAGCAAAATGGCACTGCAAGAGGAGAGCTCCCCTCAGCAGCAGGAGCAGCAGCAAGAAGAGCAGCAGCAGCAGCAGCAGCAGCAGGAGCAGCAACAAGCAGAGCAGCAACAACAGCAGCAAAACGATGGCGCGTCACCTGCCGACCGTAGCCCCTCCGGCAACTCTACAACGCCCGAGCAGCCACAGCAGCAGCAGCAGCAGCAGGAGCAGCAGCAGCAGCAGCAGCAACAGGAGGGGGACCTCACCGCAGCGGAGCTGCAGTGCAGAAACGACAAGTTGCTGCTGCAGCAGAACTCTCTTCTTGACTCGCTAACGTCTGAAAGGATCTCCAGGCTAGCAGCAGAACGGCAGGCTCTTGCTGCAGCAGCAACAGCAACAGTTGCGGAGGGGAAGGCGAAGCTGCTGCAGCGGCGGCTCGATGCTGCAGAAGCAGCGCAGCACCTGCTGCAGCAGCAGCTAGAGGACTCGCAGCAGAAGCAGCAGCAACTGGAGCAGCAGCTGCAGCAAGCCAGCAGAGACTCGACTGCAGCAAAGGCAGCAGAGCAGCAGCAAAAGGAGCAGCAGCAGCAACAGCAACAAGAGCAGCAGCAAAAGTATGATGAAGTGCATGTAAGTTGCCTTCTATAGCAGGTATAGGGTAGCTAGTTAGTTGAAGAAGTTGCTGCTGCTGCTGCTGCTGCTACTGCTTACCGTTGCTGCTGCTTCGTGGTGTGTTCCTGCTGCTGCTGCAGAACTTGCTGCAGCAGCTGCAGCGCAAGTACGCTTGCTTACAACAGCAGCAGGAGTTGGATGCTGCTGCTGCTGAGGAGAAGCAGCGCCTGCAGCAGGAGCTGCTGGACATGAGGCAGAGTCTGCTGCAGCAGAAGGATGCAGTTGCTGCAGCACAGCAGCAAGTGATTGAGGAGCTGCAGCAGCAGAAGCAGCAGCTGCTACAGGAGGTAAGTTGCTTGCTGCTGCTGCTGCTGCGGAGGAAACAGCCAAGTTGCTCACCCTGCAGGATCTCCTGAGCTTCGCTGCTGCTGCTGTTACTACTGCTGCTGCTGCAGGCCGAAGCAAGAGAGGCAGAGTTGAAGCAAGCACGCGAAGACGCAGCTGCAGCAGAAGCAGCAGCAACGGCGAGCAGCACAGACAGCGAGCAGCAGCAACAGCAGCAGCAGCAGCAGCAGCAGCCTGGCATGACTGAGGAGGAAGCAAAGCTGCAGCTGCAGAAGATGTCGGAGCAGCAGCAGCAGCAGCAGCACCCGACAGACCTAGCAATTAAACTTCTAATGGAGTTGGATGCAAAATCTCACCAGGTGAGGCCCTCTGTTGCTGCTTCTGCTGCTGCTGCTGCTGTTGCTGCTGCAGTTGTTGTTGATGCTTCTGCTCCATTTACTTAAGAAGGGTTTCGTTTGCTGCTGCATGCCACTCCTGCGCTGCCTCTTGTATATGCAAACCTTGTTGCTGCTTCACTTGCTGCTGTTGCTGCTGCTGCTGCTGCTGCAGTGCAACGTGCTGAGGGGACAGATGCAACAACAGCAGCAGGACGCTGAGGCTTGGAAGGCGGCGGCGCAGCAGCTGCAGCAGCAGCAGCAGGTGCTGCAGCAGCACCTGCAGCAGCAACAGACGGAGTTGCAGCAGCAGCTGCAGCAGCAGGCGGATCAGGAGTGCCGTATGCAGCAGCTGCTGCAGCAGAACAGGAAGAAGAGTCAGCAGATTCAGCTCTTAGAGAGCGAGGTGGGTAATGAATAGAACTGCTGCTGCTGTTGCCGGTGTCGTTCCTGGTGCTTCTGCTGCTGCTGCTGCAGCAGCAGTACTGCAACCCAGCTGCTGCTGAGCGCACTGAGGCAAGGGGCATTCATGCTGCGTTTGCTGCTGCTGCTGTTGCTGCTGCTGCTGCTTCACCCGCTGCAGTATGGAGAGAAGGAAGAGGAAGCCAGACGGTACATGCACCGCAACGACGAGCTGCTGCAGCAAGTTGCTGCTGCTGCTTGGGAGCTGCAGCGGCTGAGGCATGAGCAGCAGCAAGGCATCGCAGCAGCAGCAGGGTCGAGCAGCAGCGAGCAGCAGAGCGCAGCAGCAACATTGCTAGACTATCAAAAGCTGCTGGGGTATTCCAAGTAAGCGCGACGCTGCTGCTGTTGCTGCTGCTGTTGTTGCTGCTGTTGGTACTTGTGCTGCTACTGCTGTTGCTCGTGTGCTGCTGCTTTTGCTGTTGTGCTGTTGCTGCTGTTGGTGGTTGTGCTGCTGCTGCTGCCGTGTTGATGGAGAAGCATTTGCATGCGAGCATGGTTGTGGGGTTTGCTGCAGCAAGCTGAAGCTGCAGCTGCTGCAGCTGGCGGAACACCGGGAGGCTGCAGAGAAGCAGCAGCAACAGCAGCAGGAGCAAGAGCAGCTGCAGCTGCAGCACGAACTTCGGGAGTTGCAGCAGCAGCTGCAGCAAGTTCAGGCAGACCGCAAGGAGCTTGCTGCTGCAGTAGAGCGGCTGCTGCAGCAGCGGAAGCAGCTGCAGCAGCAGCTAGAGGAAGTGCGACAAGATGCTGCCCTCGAACAGCACCCGAAGGCAGCAGACCAGCAGACGGTAGCAGCACAGCAGCAGCAGCAGCAGCAGCAGCAGCACACCAAAGTTGCGGAGCGCCTGGAAGAAGCTGAAGATAAAATGAGACGTTTTGTCGCGCAGGTCTGTTGCTGCAGCTGCTGCTGCTGCTGCTGCTGCTGAAGTCCGTGTTGCTACTGATGTTGCTGCCGCTGCCCTATGTGCTGCTTCTGCTGCACCTGTTGTTATTGCTGTTGTTGCTGCAGATGCAAGAAGTCGCAGCCACCTTATGCCTGGAGCAGCAGCAGACTAACAAGTTGCTGACAGAGAAGCAGCAGCAGCAGCAGCAGCTAGCGGAGCAGAAAGCAACGGCAGACTTCTTCCGGAGCGAGTGCACGCGGCTGCAGCAGCAGCTGCAGCAGCAGCAGCTGCAACTGCAGCAAAGCAACAGCAGGGCAACGATAGCGGAGCAGCGCAGCAGACAGCTAGAAGAGCAGGCGCAGGCCTTAAGAGATGAACTGCATGCACTGAAGCAGCAGCAGCAGCAGCAGCAACGGGAGGCGAGCCAGCAGCAGCAAGCCTTGCACTCAAAAGAGCTGCTGCTAGTCGAGTTGCAGCAGCAGCTGCAGCAGCAGCAGCAGCAGGCTACTGCAGCAGACGTGCAGCACGAGGAACGCTGTGCTTCCCTCCAGGTGCAGCTGCAGCTGCAGCAGCAGCAAAACGCCACGCTGCTGCAGCAGCATAAGCAAGATACGCAGCAGCTGCAGCAGCAGCTAGCCAACCTCAGTGATGTCTCCAGAGAAAGAGAGTCGCAGCATGCAGAAGCAAGAGCAGCAGCAGCAGCAGCACAGGAAGAGCTGCAGCAGCTCAAGCCTACCGTCGAGTAAGCGAAGCAACAGCACCAGCTCCTGCAGCAGCAACGGCAGCAGCAGGATTAATTGTAGCAGCAGCAACAGCAGCAGCACCAGTGCGTTGTTGGTAGTTTGTTCTCCGTTATGTGCTGTTGTGCTGCTGCTGCTGCAGGCAACTGCAGCAGCAAACGCTGGAGCTGCGCGTCCGCCTGGAGGAGAAGGAGAAGATTATATGGCTGCTGCAGCAACGTGCTGCTGCTGCAGCAACGACAGACAGCAGCAGCAACAACAACAACCACAACAACGGCAGCCGCCCTGTGAGTGGTGCTGCAGCAGGAGCTGCTGGTGCTGCTGCTGCTGAGGCTGCAGCAGACACCGCAGCAGCAGGAGCAGCGTCGTCACCAAATCAGCAGCAGCAGCAGCTGCAGCAGCAGCAGCAGCTACAGCAGCTACAAGACGAACTCGAGAGCTGCAAGGCCTTAAAGCAGCACTGGCAGCAGGCAGCAGTGGAGGCGCAGCAGCAGCAGCAGCGCAGCAACGAGCAACAGCAGCAGCTGCAGCAGCAACTCCAAGAGAAGGCTGACAGCATCACTCAGCTGCAAGACAAGCAGCAGCAAATAGAGTCTCTTCTCAACGATAAGGCAAGCTCAGTTTTTGTGTTGTATGGGTCCTGCTGCACCTGTTGCTGCTGCACTTGCTGCTGCTGCTGTTGCTGCTGCTGCACCTGCTGCTGTTCCTATGGGGGTTTGCTGGTTTTAGCTATTAGTACGCGCCTTGCGTTTACGGGCGAGTCGCTGCTGCTGCTGTTGCTGCTGCTACTGCTGCTGCTGTTGCTGCTGCTGCTATTGTTGCTGCTGCTTCTGCTGCTGTGCGTGTGGTGTACAGACACTGCAGATAGGACAGCTGGAGGCTACGATCACAGCTCTGAAGGAGGAGCAGCAGCAGCAGCAGGACGCAGCAGCAAGTGCAGCAGCAGCAGCAGCAACGTCGGACAACTTGCGGCAGCAGCTGCAGCACTTAGAGAGCGAATTAGAGAGAGAGAAAAAGGCAGCAGCAGCAGCAGAAGAGAGATACCGCAGAGAGGTTGACGCTCGCGCTGCAGATATGCAGCAGCTTGAACGAGCAGAGAAGCATCAGCAGCAGCAGCAGCAGCAACTCCTTGCACTCGAGAAAGACCTCAGCGACACACGAGCAGAACTTAAGAGCACACGGTGTGACCCAGGGTTTAGGGTTTAGGGTTTAGGGTTTAGGGTTTGGGGTTTAGGGTTTTTGCTGTCTTGCCTTAAACCTCTGTGGATATTGAGGGTTTAGGGTTTCCGGTTTGGAGAGGCAGCGAAGCGGAGGGCTCAAGGTTTAGGGTTTAGGCTTTAGACGTTAGGGTTTAGGGTTTAGGGTTTAGGGTTTAGGGTTTGTGTGCAGATCTGCTGCTGAAGAGGAGAGTGTGTCTCTGCTGCGAAGCAACGCGAGTTTGCTGCGTGATGTTGAGCGACTTCGAACGGAGACAAAATCTCTTCACGCACAAATCAAAGAAATGTAGGGTTTAGGGTTTAGGGTTTAGGGTTTAGGGTTTATTGCGTGGTTTGGCTGCTTCGCTTTTTCTCTGCATTCTCTGTCTTTGTTTGCCGCTTTGTTTCTTTTTCGTTCTGTTTTATTGCTGGCTATTTATATATCTACATTATTTGTTCAATATAAATATAATATATACAATATATATAAATATATATATGTATGTATAAACATATATATATATATATGCATATATATATATACATTTATATATATATAATATATATATTTCTGTATAGTAGTAATATACGTAATATGTAATATAAATATATATAAATGCCGATGGTTCTATACAAATATAAATAAAATATATATATGTATATAATATATATATATATATATATATATATGTATATAGAAATAGTAAATAATATATATGTCGAATATATATAACGTTGATAGATAATATATCTGTATATATAAATATGTTTGTTAATTTTTGTTTTTGTTTGTTTACTGCAGCACCTCATGCAGCGAGTCTCCTGTTGAGAGCAGTGGGGACAGCAGCAGCAGCGGGAGCAGCAGCAGCAGCAGCAGCAGCAGCAGCAGCAGGGAGCGTCAGCCACAAGAGCGTTTGCTGCATGCCCGATTAGAGGAATCTCTATTGCTTCGTGCAGCAGCAGAAGAGGAGTTAAGAGCAGCAAGGATTGAGAGTGTGCAGCGCGAAGTGCAGCTAAAACAGCTAAAGCGGTCTCTAGAGGATATGAAGGCTGCAGCAGAAAGAGACAGCAAACAAAACGAAGTGCTGCAGCGCCAGCTGCAGCTAGCAGCAGCAAAAGAGCAGCTGCTCTCTCGTGTACCCTCTCTAGAGCTTGCTGCAGCACAGCTTAATGCTGTAAGACATGCATAAACTTTTTAATATATTATATCTTTCTTGCAGTTATCTGCTGTCTCCTTTGCTTCTGTCTCTCGTCTCTTTTTATCTCTCTTCTCTCTCACCAGTGTTTGCTGCTGCTGGTGCTGCAGCTGCGCTTGTTGCTGTTGCTGCTGCTGCAGCAGGTTTTGCCGCTGGCTGCTGCAGTTGGAGCATCTGCTGCTTCTTTTTCCGTGTGCTGCAGGAGTTGAAGACAGCTCACGAGCGGCTGCAGCAGCAGCAGCAGCAGCTGCAGGAGATGCGGGAACAGCAGCAGCCGCTGCAGCTGCGGGTGCGGCAGCTAGAAGCAGCACTAGAGGAGCAGCAGAGGCAGCACAAAGCAGCAAAGCAGCAAGCAGCAGAGTGGAAGAATAACTACCACAACGTTCTCAAGCGCTTTGAAGGGGTACCTGCTGCTGCTGCTGCTCTTGCTGCTGCTGCTGCTGTTATTGCTGGTGTTGTTGCTCCTGCTGCTGCTGCTGCTACTGGTGCTGTTGCTGCTATTGCTCCTGCTGTTGCTGCTGCTACTGCTGCCATTGGTGCTTCGTTTGCTGCTGCTGCTGCTGTTTTGAGAGTGGCTGCCGTTGAGTTGTCGGTTGTGCTGCCGCTGCTCGTATAAACGCTGGCTGTTCTAACACTGCTGCTGCTGCTGCTGTTGCTGCTGCTGCAGGTGGATAGGGGAGAGCTGGAGCAGCTGCGACAGGAGAAGAGCCGATTTGCACAGCGAATGCAGCAGCTGCTCTCTGAACGACAAAAGGAAGCTGCTGCTCTCAAGGTAACGTGCTGCTGCTGCTGCTGCTGGTGCTTCTGTTGCTGCTGCTGCTGCCTCTGTTGTTGCTGATGCCACGTGTATGGAGGTGCTGCTCTTGGTTTTGTGTGTGCTGCTTCTGCTGCAACCGCCGGTTCGATTGCCTGTTCGGCTGCTGCTGCTGCTGCTGCTGCTGCTGCCGCTGTTCGCTTGGTGTTCCTGCTGCTGATGATGGCCGTGCTGCTGCTGCTGCTGCTGCTGCTGCAGGAGAGCGAAGTTAAGAGGACGGAGTTGGAGAGCGCGGTGTCGAAGCTGCAGCAGGAGGTTAGCAGCAGCAGCACGGAGAAGCAGCAGCTTCAGCAGCAGGTGCATCAGCTGCAGCAGCAGCAGCAGCAGCTTCGATCGCTGGAGCAACAGACAGGAGCTTTGAAGCAGCAGCAGCAGCAGCTGCAGGAGGAGTTGCTGCGGGAGCGGAAATCAAATGAAATGCTGCGCTCGCGCTTAGGGCAGCAGCAGCAAAACGCAGGATCAGCAGCAGCACTTTCTCCTGAAGTTGCTGCTGCTGTTGGTCGTGTTGTTCGAGTGGGAGTTGTCTCTTGTGCTGCAGCGCAGCAAGCATTAAATGTTGTTAAGACAGCAGCAGCAGCCGCACACGATGAAGGCAAGAAACAGGCTTTGAAAGATGCTGCTGCTGCTGCGGCACACCAGGAGATAACTACTCTGCAGCAGCAAAAGCAGCAGCAAGACAAGGAGCTCGCTGGAGTGAGACAGCTGCTGCAGCAGCAAACAGAAGAGAACCAAGTCTTACAGAAGCAGCTCGCTGATCAGCAGCTGCTGCTGCAGCAGCAAGCTGCTGCAGCAGAAGAGGAGCAGCACCACTTGCTCTCGCAGCTGCGCCGCACACAGGAGGACCTGAGGAAGGCGCAGCAGAACCAGCAGCTGCAGCAGCAGCAGCTCCAGCAGCTGCAGCAGCAGCAGCAGCTTCAACAGCTGCAGCAGCTGCAGCAGCGACACCAGCAGCTGCTGGAGGGTCAAGGCACCGAAGACCCTTCGGTGTTGCTCCTGCTGCAGCAGCACGAGCAGCAGCAGCAGCAGCAGCAGCAGCAGGCCTCTGTCACTTCCAAACGCATTATGCATGAGCAGCAGTTGCTGCAGCAGCAGCAGAGACCTGAAAAAATGCATAAGCGGGAGCAGGCGGACGACGTCAGTGCTGCTGCAGCAGCAAGAGCAGCAGAAGCAGCTGCTGCAGTTGCTGCTGCAGCGCCGGAGCCCCAGCACGCACAGCAGCAACAGCAGCAAGAGAGCGAACCTGGTGAGGATTCGCCGCAGCAGCAGCAGCAGCAGCACGAAGAGGAAGAGGAGCAGCAGCCCGAAGAGCAGCAGCAGGAGGAGGATGAGCAGCAGCACCAGCAGCAAGAAGAAGAAATGCAAGAGGTAGAGCCGCTGCAGGAAGCCCAGCTGCCGCTGCAGCAAACAAGCAACACTCCTCAGGAGCTCACTGAAGATATAGCAGCAGACAGTGCAGCAGAGGAGCAGCAGGAATCGCAAGAGATGCTTCATGAGCAGCAGCAACAGCAGCAGCAGCACGAAGAGCAGCAGCAGGAAGAAGAGCACCAGGAGCAGCAACAGCAGGAAGAGGAGGAACAGCAGCAGGATGACGAAGAGCAGCAACAACAGGAAGAGGAGCAGCACCACGAACAGCAGCAGCAGCACCACGAGCAGCAGCAGCACGACGAAGAGCAGCAGCAGCACGCGGAGCAGCAGCAGCAGCAGCAGGAGGAGCAACAGCAGCAGCAGGAGGAGCAACAGCAGCAGCAAGAGGACCAACAGCAGCAGCAGGAGGAGCAGCAGCAGCAGACGAGCGAGTCTTCTCAGCTTGAAGACATCAGTGAGGAGTCGTCTCAGCCGCAGCAGGAAGAGCAGCAGCAGGAGCAGCAGGAGGAGGAGCAGCAGCAGCAGGAAGAGGAGCAGCAAGACGTCTACTCTCTGATGGAAGAAGACGAACAGCAGCAGCAGCAAGAACAGCAGCAGCAGCAGCAGCAGCAGGATTCGGAGTCCACCACTGGGCAGGCACCTTCAACCCCTGGAGAATCTGTTGCCCCTGAGGAGCAGCAGCAGCAGCAACAGCAGCAACAGCAGCAGCAGCAGCCAGCTGCTGAGGATGAGGGGCCAGAAGAACTCGCTGTTGAATCTGCTCCCGCAGCAACATGGCAGTGAAGCCCCTCAATTTTTTCTGCTGCAGCAAGGTGCTGCTGCTGCAGCGGGTGCCGTTGCTGTGGCAGCAGCAGATGCTGCTGGTGCTGCAGCATCTAAATAAAGCATAGGCTGCACCGCATGAGCTGCAGCAACAACCTGAAAGCGGTAGTTGCTGCTGCAGCTTCCGCTGCTAGATGCAGCAGCCGCACGAATTTCAATTAACTTGTCTAATTTGCCTACAATATTTAGTGAAGTTGTGATGCTTGCAGCAGCAGCAGCAGCAACAGGAGCTGCACCAGCAGCAGCGGCAGCCTCTGCCGCTGCTGCTTGTCTTCAGATTAGGTGAATAGTACGCGGTAGACGTTGCACAACAGCAGCAGCAGCAACAGCAACATCAGCAGCAGCAGCAACAGCGTAAAGAAACAGGCACGAGCAGTAGGCAGCAAGAGACAGGTAGCAGCAGCAGCAGCAGCAGCAGCAAGATAGAGCCAATGGCGTTGAGATGAATTTGTCTTTAGAGATTTTTCCTGCTTCGATTAAAAAAGGAATTAGCTGTTTAGGGTTTAGGGTTTAGGGTTTAGGGTTTAGGGTTTAGGGTTTAAAGCGACATACAGAGAGAGACAGCGAAGCGGCAACAGCTGTGTCTCTCTTTATAAATTTATGCTGCCTCTCCCTGTCTCTCTAGTATATATATATATATATATACATGTATATACATATATATATATATGTTGTGTATAACATATATGAAATGAATGATATTTATTTCATACAATATAATAAGATAATGTCTACGCGATATTACATATGTACTTAGAGTACATATGAAATAATAAAATAATTAATAACTATATATATATATATATATGAGTAGGAAATATATTGTATAATATATATATTCATGTATATATATTATATAATATATGTGCATGCATGCATATATATATTTATATTAGAGAAAAATTAATAAACGTGCATATGAGCGTTGAGCACCTTGTTATTGTTGAGCAGCAGCAAAACCTATTAAACAAATATTTATTTAACCTAAATATTAATATAATTTAAATATTAATTTAATTTAAATATTTATTTATTTATTTTAAATATTCTATTTAGTTTATTTTAGTTCAATGAATGTATATTTCTGCTACTCAGCTGCTGCCTGTGAGTCACTCGGCTTCGCCTTCCCGTCTGCTGCTCTCATAGACATTTTCTCGTTTCTTTCTTCTAACTAATTCAAATTATGTATTTAATTTATTTAATTTATTTTATTTATTTTATTTAAACTCTAATTTGCATTAAAAATACGAAAAAAAACGAAGAAAAGCCGCAAGCTCTACAGACACCCCAAGCCCATTGCTGCTGCTGCTCGCCTCAGCAGCAGCAGCAGCTGCTGCTGCTGTTGCTGCAGAGCAGCCAGCAGTATAGAAGTTCAAAGTAGCAATATATATAAATGCATATATGTAGTTGTGGTTTTAAAGACATGAGCAAGAAAGAAGAAAGAGATGCTTGTGTTATAAATAGATTAGCTCTCTAGCTTCCGTACAAAGCAAGAAAGTAAAGACAGAAATAAACAAACAAACAAAACAAATAAATAAATATAAAAGAAATGGAGCAGGCCAACTCAATTGCTGCTGCTTCCTCGCCTATAGCACAAACTGAGAACGGCGACACAGAAGAAGACTCAGCAGCTGCAAACCTTCTTCTCAATTCTGCTGCTGCTGCTGCTTCTGCTGCTGTAGATTCTGCTGCTGTAGATTCTGCTGCTGTAGATTCTGCTGCTGTAGGTTCTGCTGCTGCAGTGGGTACTGCTGTTCCTGTGGGTGCTGCTGCTGTTGCTGCTGCTGCTGGACAGCTGCCAGCTACCGCTTTAGCAGACCAGGAAGGAGAGCAACTGGCAGCAACAGCAGCAGCAGCAGAGGCAGGGACAGATGCTGCTGCAGAAGCTGCAACGGGGGAAGGAGTAGCATCAGATGATGCTGCTGCTGCTTCCTCTGTTGCTGCTTCTGTTGCTGATGGCACTGTAGATGGAAGAGAGAATGGGAGTGCAGCAGCAGCTGCTGCGGATGCTGCAGCAGATACTGCAGCAGCTGAGACAGCTCACGCAACAGCAGCAGCAGTAGAAGAAGCAGCAGCAGCAGGAGGAGAAGAAGCAGAAGCAGCAGCAGCATCAGAAGCAGCAGCAGAAGCACCAGATGTGCCTTTGCTAGAACAAACTGCTGCAGCAGCCGATGCAGCAGCCGCAAGTGCGGCAAGCCTGCCCGTTACTGAAGGTGCTGCAGCTGTTGCTGCTGCTGCTTCCTTCGATTCTGCTGCAGCAGAAGCAGCAGCAGAAGTTGCAGCAGAAGCAGCAGCAGAAGCTGCAGCAGAAGCAGCAGCAGCAGCTGTAGCAGAAGGTGCAGGGGAAACTGCAGCAGAAGCAGTAGCAGAAGCTGCACCGGGAGCAGCAACAGAAGCTGCAACAGAAGCAGCAGCAGCAGCACCAGTAGCAACAGCAGCAACAGAAGCGGAAGCAGTAGCACAGCCACCAGCGGAAACAGAAGCGACAGCACCAGCAGCAGCAGGAACTGTAGCAGCAGCAGACGGCGCAGCAGGAACTGTAGCAAGCGCAGCAGTAGAAACAAAAGATGCTGCAGCAGTTGCTGCTGCTGCTGCTGCTGCTTGGCAAGGAAGCGAAATGAATGGATCAAGTGTACACGATGGCGAGCCTGCTGCAGTTGCTGCTGCTGCTGCTGCTGTTGCTGCTGCTGCTGCTGCTGCAACATCAGAGTGCGCTCTAGGCCATACACCAAGAGAACTAGCAGCAGCCGCAGAGGGCGCAGCAGCAGAGCAGCAGCAGCAGCAGCAGCAACAGCAACAGCAGCAACAGCAACCGCACGAGGACGGGGGAGATCCAGGACCACACGAGAGTGGTGTGCAGCAGCAGCAGCAGCAGCAACAGCAGCAAGAGCAACAGCAGGAGCAGGAGCAGCTGCAGCAACGCGAGCAGCTCCATGAGTCGGCAAAAGAGCAGCAGAAGCAGCAACAACAGCAGCAGCAGCAAGAGCAGCATGCGCCCTCCCAACAGCCGGAGCAGCAGCAGCAGCAGCAGCAGCAGCAGGAGCAGCAGCAAGGAAGCGTATCAGCTGGAGATGATGAGGCAGTTGATGTTTTTGCGGTGGAGGCGCAGCAAAAAGAGAGACAAAGAAAACAGCAAAAAGATTACAGCAAACTGTGGAGAGTCTTCGGAAGACAAACAGATGCAGGTACTTGCTGCTGCTGTTGCTGCTGCTGCTGCTGTTGCTTCTGCTGTTGCTGCTGCTGTTGCTTTTGCTGCTGCTGCTGTTGTTGTTGTTGCTGCTGCTTTTGCGGGTGTTAATGGTGCTCCTGCTGCTGCTGCTATTGCTCTTGATGCTGCTGCTGGTGCTATTGCTGCTTTTGCTTCTGCTCTTGCTGCTGCTGCTGCTGTTGTTGTTGTTGTTCCTGCTGCTGCTGCTGCTCTGGTTGCAGCTTATGTTGTCCTATGGAGCGGTCAGATTGCTTAAGAGTTCTAGCTCTGCATGCTGCTGCTGCTGCTGCAGCATGAAGTTTGTATAAGGCTTTCTTCTTTCTTCTGCTTCTGCTTCTGCTGCTGCTGCTGCTTCTGCTGCAGGCCGTTTGCTGTTTCAGCTGTACGCACGGACGCAGCAACGCGGCTCTCCTGGGGCATCTCGCATCGTTCCTGTTAATGTAAATTGCTGCAGCTTTTGCTGCTGCTGCTTTTGCTGCTGCTGCTGCTGTTGCTACCTTTTACTTGGATATAGCATTCCGCTGCTGTGTCTGCGTCTTTACGTACACTGGAAACTGCTGCTGCTGCTGTTGCTGTATTTGCTGCCCTTCAGCCTCAAACAAAGAGCGGCAGCGGGGGCCCCACGCCTTTGCTGCTGCTGCATTCACGAGAGTCAGCAGCAACAGCAGCAGCAGCAGCCGCAGCTGAAGCATGGAAGGCAAAAGGAAAGGCGAGTATGCGGCAGCGTCTTGTAAAGGTCCCTGTTGTGGGGCGTAGGCCTCGTGCAGCAGCAGCAACAGCAGCAGCAGCAGCAGCAGCAGGGGGTTCGTCTTCTGCTGCTGCTGCTGCTGCTTCTACAGCTGCTGCTGGGGGGCCCACAAGGAGGCGTCCTTTACGTAAAACGCTGCAGCAGATAATGGAAGAGACGCGCCGGAGTGCAACAGAAGCTCAGCAGCAACGGCTGCAGCAGCAGCTGCAGCGGCAGCTGCTGCTGCAGCACAGCGAGAGCTTAGATAGAGAGCAGCAAAAAGACTCTCTCTCTCGTTGCTTCCAGCTTGAAGTCTGCTCTGCGCTGCCCCCCAAGGCGAGGCTTCCTGCTCTCACTTCTATGCAAAAGAAAGAACTCCTCTTCCTTCCTCAAACCAAAGCAACAACTAGCTAGCTAGCTAGCTGCTGCCTAGCTACCTAGCGAGCTAGCTAGTTGGCTTTTGCCTAGTTAGCTAGCGAGCTAGCTAGCTAGTTGTTGCCGAGCTAGCTGGCGAGATAGCTGTTGAGATAGCTGCTGCCTAGTTAGCTAGCTAACTAGGCAGTCGGCGGGCTAGCTGCTGCCCAGCTAGCTAGCTAGCTACTGCCTGACTAGCTAGCTAGCTACTGCCTGGCTAGCTAGCTAGCTACTGCCTGGCTAGCTAGCTGGCTACTGCTTCGGTTGCTAGCTAGAAAGCTACTACATAGCTATTACAAAGCTAGCTAGCTATTGTGTAGCTAGCTAGCGAGCCAAGGCAAGCTTCTTTAGGTAGCCATGGCGCTGAAGACCCGAGGCACCCATCTAAATAGCTAGCTAGCTAGCTAGCCAGCCACTGCCTAGCCAGCTAGGTGGCTATTGCCTAGCTAACTAGCCACTGCCTAGCTAGCTAGCTAGCTATTGGCTAGCTAGCTAGCCACTGCCTAGCTAGCTATCCACTGAGACGGGAATTCTTCCCTAGGGGAAGATCTGAACTACAGAAGGCCCAAGCAAAGACGTCTGCTTCTTGATGCTGCTGTTCGTTACTGCTGCTGCTGCTGCTGCTGTTGGCTGCTGCTGCTGCTGGTTGCTGCTGCAATAAGCAGACGAACATATATAGCTACGTCTCTATGTATAAAGAAATACTTCTAAGTATATATA